CTAACTTCACCTAACTGCCTCCCAAAATCAGATTCTGCTTTCTTTGGGTTTCTGCTGAAACAGATTTTGGGAGGCGGTTAGGTAAAGTTAGGTTATAGGTCAGGTTTTGTTAATTGAAAGATATTTGTAACTAAATTAACCTGACCTAACCTAACTTTACCCAACTGCCTCCCAAAATCAGTTTCAGCAGAATGCGGAAAAATTTAATTCACAGTTTCTGGTAGGTGCAAGGAAAGTAGGTATTGAGATAACAGGAAAGTACTAACAAAGTTGTAAAGGTGTTCTGACACTGGAATTTGGAAGTTGGTTAAACTAAACAAGAAATCAGGGTACATGTGTTTTAATGAGATTTTACTGAACACAGAACGAGCTGAGGAGGAGCGCAGGGTGAAAGCAGCAGCAGAAGCCGAGGAGTCCAAGGCCTGGGGCATGGATGAGCAGTTTGAAAAGATGTTGGCTGCCAAATTGGCTGCGGCTGAGATTGCCAATATGAAACGCGCGAATGCCCGTGCCATAGAAGAAGAGATTGAAGTGTTATCAAGGCTCATGGAAATTGTTCGCAGCCGGGACCTGGAACCAGATGAGAAGAAACTCATCAATGAGCTCCTTCAAGCCCCTGACGCGTACGATGATAATGACCATGCTTCGGACAATAAGCGTTGAGAACTGAAGATCTGACTACTGTATAATCATGTGCCTTTATTTCCTTCTTTTCCAGTTTTCTCTTGTCTTTGAAGATTTCATCTCACATTCTCATCTGAGAGTCATCCAAGTAATGCACAGAAATGCATCATAAGACCCTGATGAAGAAACTCGGGTGCAGACTGAATAATACGTAAAATAATGCGATATAAGGGAGTATATATACGTCAATTAATATCACTCCTGCAATTTTTAAAAAAAAAGAATATTTGACTCCGTAATTCTCCGTGGCATCAATTGAACCAAGAATATCCGAGAAATTCCTGTAAGTAAAGTATTGTACTCATTTCATAAAAACATGAAAACTTTGAATTACAGTACATAAATAATGGTAGCGGTACCACGCATTTAGCAACAATATTTTTTTTTCTGAAAATGTTGTTTATATTTGACATTGGTGCACAGAATTTAGGCAATTCGTTGATGCTATTGGGGTTTTAAGCCTTGAAGTCGTAGGAGTGGTAGGACTGAATGCATATTCATGCAAGCAAAGAACAAATGTTGACTGTTTTAGCTGAGGTTGATCTAAGGTAAAGCGTGGTGTCCTGAACAGTATGTATTAGGTTTTATGTACGAGCGACATCTACAATGAAAAACAAACTAGCACATTCCTCGTCATCAATATACGGTATTGTTATCTTGTACACGAAATGGAGAAATACTGTCGATGTGAAGTGTATGATTATTTCCTTTATGCATTAACGCATGCCTAATATGAATTAATGAAGGATACGTTTAGTATTGGGATAGAAAACAGCTGTGCTTCCCGACTCCGATGAGCCCATCGCAAGGGCAGCACCATTACAATTTTTGTTTTCAAGGGCCATTTTGGAGACGTCAAGAGTTGAAAAAATACGATTCTTGCCAGACAAGACAATAATTTCTTAAACACACTTAGGATTACAGATAGAATTTCTTAAAAGGCACTTGTTGAAACTTTTTCCTTGTTAGAGACTAAGAAGTCTCAACAAAGAAAATAAGAGAATGATAAATGAACCACAGCAATAAGCCTGGGAGCCTCTTTATAGAGGCCCCAAAAGAAGTGAGTATTTAATAATGTCCCAAAGAATAATTCAACTCCTAGAATTTTTGACTTTGCACACACATTGCTTTTACACAGCACAATGATAAAATCAGATGTGTCAAGAGCTCTTCACGCTTCATGAATTGGCAGTGGAATGAATTCATTGCTACACGTTTTTGGAGACAAAAGAAAGAGAAGAAAAGTGGTTTTCCTAATGGGCAAAATATTGGCCTCTGATTGGCTGATTTCGTTGGAATCAAAGAAGATGCTGTGCATCATCATACAATTCCTTTGGACTTGTTCTTTGGTGCTGGGCCTCTACCAAAGGACAAGTTTTGGGATGAAGTGGTAGTTTATTATTATAATTATTTACCAGCGCCCGGCTCAGTCCCCAACAGTCCCTGAAAAATTCATTTCCAAGAGGCACCTATAATTTCTCTTTTAAATGGGAAGTTTCAGATGAAATTCAGTTCTACGGAGTGAATCACACATGGCCCAAAAGAACTTCTGATGATTTCGAAAGAAAAAAAAACAGATTTGTTATCATTATTATTGGAAGTTTCCACCTTGTAAATTATAGAAAAAGGACCGCATGACGGATGAAGCCTCTCGATCTGATGCGGGCCGGATCCGGCCCGCGGGTTGTTTGTTGGGCAGCGCTTATTGGAAACGAGTATCCAGACATATAATGAGACACCTCTTTGTTCGACTGTGTGAAACGCCTGCGGTAAAGCAGGAAAATCATCAGAGGTCAATATGAAAAAGTTAGATAATTAAATTCGTTGCACGACTGGATTTCAGAATTTTTTTTTAAATGACCATCATGGTCATACGTTAATGTACAGAGACTTCGTCAGAAAAACGTAAAGTCGATGCAAACTTACAAAGATATTTTTCAGCACAGATTTTCTTGAATACAGCGATGTAAACTACTTGATGATCAGGGAAAGTTTCTCGTTGAAGACGAGAATCCGTTTAAAAAAAATGCCAAACTGGAAATATTCGGGATTGGAATGCGAAATATATGCAATTTTTGCAGGTTCTGAATTATTTTAGAACTGAAAAATTTTCCGACACGAGTGCCGCATGTTAACCGCAACTGGATTCAATTATCCGCAAACGCCCGAAAGAGTTCACTTGTTTTTTCCCCCGAGTGGATACTGGTTTGATAATTATGCATTCACTGACCTAAAACAAAGGACAAAAAGCCCCACGAATTACGAAGACGGGATAAAATGATATAATTAATCAAGTCTACAACTGAGAAGGAATTCATCGGAAAACTTTTTATAGCATATTATCTCGGAGCAAAAGTACAGTGTATTGCACAAACAATCCGACTGCCAAGAAACCGTGGATTTTATTACGCTGTTCGCATAAATTCTCATTTTATATTGATTGAAAAGTCTTTGGTGGCCCGATATTAAAATTTAAAAAATGAAAATATGAAATTTCGATTTTTGAAATCTATATATGTTATAATCATAAACGCGCTTTACATTGATCCTCCAAAATTTTCTTCTGACCAACGTATCACTTCAGCAAGGTGGAAACAAAATATTTTAAAATCATAAAATATAGGCACGCGTAATTTATTGAAATTTTCATCACAAATACAACATCAGATATTCCACAATTTACCAAGCAAATAGAATTCCCGCAATGAAATTTTCAAAATCAGCCCCATAAGACTTCCAAGCAATCCATCAGAAATATGACAAATATGCGCCTTTATAATTTTTTTTTCTAATGAAAATGTATTCAAATGGGAAGTGCAGTACAGGGATTACCTCGCCAATCGACCCTAATCTCTTGCCAGAATAGGTTAAAATTGAAAATTTGTTGAATTGCGAGGCCCTCGGTGAAATTCAAAAATATAACTTTAAAAATGCCAAAAAAAAGTGGCCAAATCAGGTCAAATTGCGGGGACAAGGGTTGAATTGCAAGTCAACATTCCCGCAAATTCAACCATCACATGGCGAGAGGTCAAATTGAAAGGTACCACCTGTACTGTGCATATGTTATTAGAAAACTTGAAAATAAATCAGATTGACCCACATTTCCTGCATTTTATCTTAATACCAGAAACGATGAATCATGTCATTCTCGCACATGCTGCAGCTGCAAACTAAAACTCACGTCTCATGTGCAAGGCCATAATCGAAAAAACACCATTCTTTTGTTCACCTAACAGTATTCGACAAACAAAAAGCGTCGTATTCGACAGTCAACAATAATTTAGAATTGCACAGCTTCTTTTCCAAGTATATACCGGCCATCAGTTGTTCTCCAGCAGCCTCTCCAGCAACTTTTTGCACATCAGTAAACATCGTGGGACATGGAAACAACCTATGAATGAAAAACAATGATATATACTGTACCTCATTTTCGTCATAATTTCATCTACGAATCCAGAAGGATTATTCAAGCTTGAAAGTTTGACCGAAATCCGTTTGTGGGATTTTCGTCAATTTAAAAAACTATTTTCATGCAATAAAAGTGGAAAAGGAAGCCAACTTGACAACTTTACTTGGGAAACAAATTTAGAAATCCCACGTCGTGCCACGATTTAAATTTGCACTTTTAGAAGGCTTTTTCGAATCAACACTTTTTCAATTTTGCAAAAATCATACAGCACTTTAGCAAGTATAAAAAAAAGCCTTCTTTCGCAAGACTCAAGGACTCACCCTTGAAGGGCATCCCTTTGTGGGAATGGGTTCGTTTTCCTTGCCTGTCGAGGTACCCGAACCATTCTCCGTGAACTTCGTCTACAAACTTTTTAAAAAATAATGTCAGTGTTTTCAGGAAGAAAAAAACAGATTTGGAAATAAAATCAATCAACAGACGTGGTCATAAACGTAGTCGGCCACGAGCTTGAACTTCTGCCAATGAATTTCGTTTCCGGTTTCAACAAATGCCATCAGAAATGCAATCATAGCCTCAGCATGAGCCCACCATAATTTCATGCTCCACTCGAGTGGAAGTGGCTCGAGACCTTTAATACAGTATATTAACGGGAAAAATCAGCCGGAATCCTAGGTTCTTTTCAACAACAAAATTATTAGGATTTCGATTCAAATGAATTACCATCTGCGTCGAGGAAAGAGAAAATCCCTCCGAATTCTTTGTCCCACCCGACCTCAAACGGAATCAATAAAAAAGAGTCAATTGCTCTCCGGATGAGGTCTTTGTCAGCTGTGCGTCCATTAGCCCAGTCCATGATGAACCAGGCCCCCTCAATTGCGTGTCCTTTGGAATATGAAGCATAAAAAACAAAGCCAAAAATATATCAATCACCGTAAAACCTCCTTTATCTTGACTGATGGGAAGTCAAGCTTTATTTTCAGTTTGTCAGCATTCACAATATGAATTACCAATGTTAGCAAAAATAGTTAGTACTGTAGTAGTATAAAATAGTATAAAATAAAATAAATATAGTAAATAGTATTTTATTAATTATGTTAGCAAAAATTTTGCCCAATAAATTTAACTTGATTTTTTTGGAGTGCCATCTAGCGTAATTGGTTTGAAATGTTTCAGTATAGTCTAGCTAGATCATTGTTCCCCAACCCATGGTATGCAGACTGGTGCCAGTCTGCAGCAAAAGTTTTTGGCCAATCCGCAGGAAACTTTCTCAAGCAAAATAAATTCATTTAAAAAATCCACAAAGAACAATACAGTGTCTTCTAAAATTTTTGCAAGACAATTGGAGTTAAAATTATCTCATGAGAAATGAAAGTTGGCATTTCTCCCAATAACACTTCTCCAGTAATTTTTTTGAAAGCATTTCCACTATAGCTGCTTCATATTGGTTCCTAACTTAATTTTTTTCTCAAAGAAGCAGACACTTTTTCAATACCTATCATGAACTATTCCAGGCAAAACTGGGTTGAGTGTGCAACAATTTTACAAAACTTTCCCAGTCCTCAGAACATTTTTGTTGTCGAAAATTTGCCAGTCTGCAAAACATTTTATGGTAATTTTCTGGTCTGCTGAAACAAAAACGTTGGGGAACACTGATCTAGGTAATCTTGAATAACCCTTTTAGTTCTTGAGTGATGTGCGAGTGTGTTACATACGCAAGTTTGTGAAGTCATAGCAATAAAGCAGAAATAAGAAAAAAAATTAAAACTTACATCTTGCCACTTATTTTGCCAAAATTATTCCTTTAGACATATTCCATCCTATCAACATAGTACACTGCTGTACTTGTTTGTTTTCAGAAATTGAATCACAGTGAATGAGAATGCATAAAAACCCCCATAATTTATTTTAGTGAATGATAATCATCATAGCACAGGGAAATTATACTGAGCACAAAATAGAACACAAAGCGTTCAGCTGTTCCCAGATATTTTCAAACTGATTTATAACTGATCAGGTATTACCACCCTATCTATAAGGGATATACAGCTTCAAAAAAAACATTTTGTGTCCTAAAATTGTCTCTCACTGTGCCCCTGTTCTTACAATATTATTGAGGCAGAATGTCTGGCACAGTCATTCATCAATGCACTGAGCCTAAGCATGCTATATATAGGTTAAACCTTGCAATTTGACCCTAATATTTGCCTAAGTAGGGTCAAATTGCAAAGCAGTCAAATTGTGAGACACTTTGTGAAATTCGAAAATATTAGTAAAAAATAAAAAATGTGTCAAATGCAGGTCAAAGTGCAGGGCAAGCGTTGATTTGTAAGTCAACCTCCCTTTCAATTTGACAGTTTAATTGTGAAACAATGAAATTTTGTCAGGTAAAATTGAAAGGTAACATCTGCATGGCTATTTTGGTCAAAAAATCTGTATATGAAAAACAAATTCAAAAAGTGAATAGGATTGAAATGCGTGATCTATCTTCTATCATGGTGAGCAGTAATGCTTTGAATAATATTTGCAACAATGCGACATATTAGTGAACATATCAAACAATAAGTGAAAAGATTGAGAGGGGAAGAAATTGTATTTGGCTGCTTTTCTTGAACCGAAGGCGAGAAAAGTGTTTTTATTTTCGTATCCAATTCTAGAAATGAAATCGAGCCTCAATCCAAAGTAAGGAAAAAACCTTTATAGCAATGTGCGTATCAGATCTTGTTCATGCCCATTGATTTATTAAGAACATAAAAATAACTTTAAAATCGAAGATTATTGAAAAAAAAACCATTCGATAAAGGATAGTATCAGGAAGTGAGCAAGTTTTATGATATGTTGGCACAGAATCAAAACATGGATACTTTCCAATCCAAACTTTCGAGCAAGATAGTCCGAGTCACACTTATTTGGATATTTGCCATAAAAGAAGAAATACTGTATGTATAATTCATGGAAATTTCCTTGGTTTTTTTTTACCGGAAGCAAATATTCACCAGGGTTTTGATGACGACCGATTGCAGATCCAGAAAATTCCTTTCCATCCAGTGTAATATTTTCAAGAACGCAGGTTCCGTCTCTCTGGGGAATGATCAGAAAAGTAAGTGATAAAAAATTCCGGTTTGGGTTCTCGGGGTTCTTTTCATCCCTCTTTCTTTTTCAGTTCGTACCTGCACGTGCTTGAAGAGTTGATTTATTGCCCATTTAGCCTGAGTTTCATACGAGTTCAGTCCGAAAACTTTTTCCGCTTCGGTGGTGAGATTGAGCAAAATCATGGGATGAGCCAGGGAAGCGAGTTTCGGAGTTCCCGGAAGGGAAACTGCTCCTGTTCCGGTTCCGTCCTCCATTACCCAGTGGATGATGGTATCTAACATCCTCTTAGCTTCGTCCTGAAACCACAGTCACCACACTCACAATTACTTCAGGAACGAGGAAACGAATATTAAGCAGAGCTTTCGATGAGATTTTCTGGAGGGGTGTATAATCACAAGACTCTCGCTTTGTTTTTTTTTTTGGGAATTTGAATCTATAAGACTAGAATATTGTTGAAACAAATTACTTTTTCAATATGTCCGTAGTATAGCTTAAATTCTATTTGAGGCGCAATGCAATACTTGCAATATAGTTGAGCAACGGTTTTCAACAGCTCAATGACTGCTGCATGGATTGTATAAAAAATTCTACAATATTCAGCAGTAAAACCCCAAAATGTGGAGACCCTGACATATGAATGATTTGACTCAGGGACACTTTAAATTGGAAAAAGAATGACTTCCAGCATCTGGACAGTGATTGAAGATATGGGCACTTTTACATGAATGAATGAACAGAACACTTTATTTGCCGCTTTTCAGCGTTCACAAGGTTCAATCAAGATTTCCACAACCAACTCAACCCAAATCCACTCAATGACATTTAATCACTTCAGAGCAGGATACACAGCACAAATTGATAACAAAAATACAAGAAAATACAGGATTTTACATGATTTCTGCAAGCATTTAAAATTTTTTCTTTTTATTTCTTTTTATTTCTTGAACTAATTTAGCCATTTCCATTTGAAAATGCTAAAAATCAATTCCATTGTGGGTTAGCCTAATTCCTAATCAAAAACAGGCTAATTTTATGCCACTATTCAAGTTTTTTTCAATATTTTGTGTTCATTATAGCAATAATTCTTCTTCTTTTCTGCCTTTTAAAGCTCATTCTGATGACAAAAGATCAGATTCTGTAAGACATTAGGGAATATAAAATACCTCTCTGTCCTTGTACCATTTTGGTAACCTTTGGTCAAACCAAAACACACTATAGCCCAACAAAAAAAAAAAACCTGGGATTGCTGAACAACAGAAAATAACTCTCCTGCAGCACCGCTTGAAATGTCTCTTTACAACGCTAAATAAATCTCCATCCCATTCCACAAAAAAAAAACTGGAACCGGCAATAACCTCGCACCTTGTATTTTTCCTGGCCCGTCGTCTGGGCCAAACCGATCATGGCCAGTGCGAAAAAGGTCTCGGAGAAAACGGTCCTCTGCGTCTTGACAGCGAGTCCGTCTCTGGTGAGCGAGAAATGGCACTTGTCAGTGTCGGGCTGCTTCGCGTGGGCCAGCAGGAAATCGCCGGCCACAATGGCGGCCGCCAAAAGCGCTTCCTTCTTGCTGACGTCATCCGTGGCCCTGGCCAGCTGGCAGTAGGTCCACACTTGCCGGCCCTGCAGCCACACGAATTTGGTGGTGTCGAACACGTCGCCGGTGCGAGTGAGGCAGTTGAAGAACCCGCTGTCGATATACATAAATAGGTAATAATAGAGGGGAAATCGAAAAGAGGATGACGACAGGAAGAATATGTGTCATCAACTGAATAAAGTGATATTGTGCTGGCATCAGGAAGGAAGACCTGCTGGGTCTTCAGCAGCAGTTGAAAAAAACCAGCAAAATGAAGAAAAAAATATGAAAACCAAACACAAAAATATGTGCGCAATTACATGTGTCTTACCCGAGTTCCGTATCATGGGAATGCTTCAGCCAGAAATCCACGGTTCGATCGAGATCCGCAGAAATTTTGGCCAAATAGAAGTTTATTTCAGCTTGAGACATTGTTCAGTTTTGCACTAGTTTGCTGTATTGAATCTGACTAAAAATGTAATATTGACGAAGGACTGAAGCATAGGCTTATTGCGAGAAAAGTTTCACATCACTTCTGTTCGAGGAGTCTGACCGAGCTACAGCTATATTATATTAGGTCTAACCTATGTATATATACACTTGAAGTGATTGAACAATTGGAAATTACTCAACATTCGATTTGAGTATTTCACGCTTTGATTTTTTCCACACAGCGTTTATGAATATCCGAAAGGAAATGCACATCTTCCACGAACTCCGCAAATTGAGCTAATGTATACTTCACAGAGAAATGGATTTGAATGGATTTAAAAGTTGAAGAAATGTTTTCATTCAATACTAACACCTAGAAACACAATTTGACACTTAGCAAATCACTCATTGTGAAGTTTTTCAATTACCGAGCTCGCAAAAATACAGTATATAGATTAGTTGGAAATAACGAGGACATATATATCTAAGTTATTATTGACGAAACAAATTAACTATTGTGACCTTTAATCGAATGCAGTTAGATGATAATTGCATTTATAACTAGCAGTTCTGATTCAACCGAAGTTATTAGGCAAACATCACTGTTCAATCAAGCGAAACAGAAAAAAAAGCATTCCAAAAAAATAATTATAGTAGATTAAAAAATTAATCTAAAAAACCATGTTTTCAAAAAGCAAAAAATAACCTTAAATGTGGTGCGCATCTATTTCATTTGTATTTCACTTCTTCCCAACAATCTCCATGCACACCATGTTTAAGGTTATTTTTTGCTTTTTGAAAACGTGGTTTTTTAGATTAATTTTTTAATCTACTATAATTATTTTATTCTTTTTAAAAAATATTCTTAAAATTTATTTTTTCACAAAAGATTGCATTGTCATCAGTNTCCAAAAAATTAAAGTAAAAATTAAGAACACTGCATAAAAAATGATCGCTCCAATTCTCTTAATATATTGCCCGTTTAGGAGAACATTTTTAAACGCTTGAGTATTATTAGTTTTGAGTATTATTAGTTTCCATGCGCCTCGGAAAAAAAATTACTATATATAAAAAGGCGAAAATTTTGCGCCGCTTTTCTCAAGTCTTTCGTATTTCCACTCGGCACAGGTTCTTCTTTTACACGACTTGAAAATATATGCACTGATTCCCGAAATATGTCTGATTGAACGAGCGACTGCATCAATCAGAAATCTGATGAATCACACGAAAAACTTGCGAATTATAAAAAAGATACCTTATTATTCTCACATTATGGGAGCATGGATTCTGAGGCTTCGAGAAAGTCAAAATACAGCAGTCCGAGGAAAAACTAAAAAAATGCGAAACTGAAATGTCAGAATCTTTAAACTTCATCACAGCATAAAATATACACATAGATATGCAACCACGGCATCAGCAGCAGTGACTTGCTCAGGATGTCAAATGCCTACAACTGAAACAACAGCAAAAAACAAGCATCAAGTATAAGAGTCTTTCGTAAACATGGTCTGGAACAAATATACACTGTGGACTGTGACTCCATTCCACTCAAGCGAGAAAACAAAAATCGGGTCTATTTTTCCATCACCAACAATAAGCGCCAACTTCTTCCAAGGCAAAAGACTTGCTCGAAAGTTTTCGAATGGAACTTCGACTAAGGAAGATGAAAAAAAGGAAAAAAACTTCAGTGTTCTATTCATCAAAAATTCACAACATCCACTAGAACAAGATTCGATTTATTGCCATCCACCTTCGCAAGATTCCGTTCCTATGGTTCACTGCTAAAATATTTTATTTTCCAGAACCGTGGAGGACTGAAGTGTTGGCCGAAGACTTGGTCAGTATATATACTTGCAATTAATCCGTTTTACTCGGGCTTTTTACTGAAACTATTTTTTTCCTTGGTCTTTCTTCTCGCACCTGCCTTTTGCTTTCAGTGGGAAAATTAGCTGAAGGTTTTTTATTTATTTACCGGAAGTAATTAAGAGAACCACGCAATGGCTCTCTCTTCGAAATGGTGTGCGGACCGCGGGGACGCCAATAATAATGACCGTGAGGAAACTTGGAAATCAATTATTATTTTCTGCATGTATAAGTCAAGAACTCGAAGACTAGGATCTTTCTTCGCAATTCTCATCTTTTATTCAAGAGATGAAAAATATGATAGAATAAAATGTAGCGAGGTTTTTTTTTTTTTTCAGCCATGGAACTTTCGGCGTCGGTGGACGTGGATCAATTGGATAAGATGATCAGGCAGCTGATGAAACTAAAGGTTCCTCTTGCATAATATATTCGTATTTTAATTTTCGTTCGGTTGAATAGTCGGGATGAAAATCATTTGATAATGTTTGTCTGGTGGTGATAGATGGAAGGAGAAGATCACCTGTGCAGCCTTGACAAGAAAATGTCCGTCATGGACAAGCAATATCGCCAGAGAGTGAGAATATAATTTAGGAAAACATGTTTTTTCAAGCAAATAATTATTTTTCTTGATTTTTAGACCATGGAGCTGCAGAGACATGAGAAACGGCTCGACGAATACACACAGACAATGCATGGTTTGTAGAGTTTCATTTTGAATCAGCGTTGAAGAAAAATGGGTTTGATCGTAAAGTGCAGTGAAAGCTTCAACAATCAAAAATCCCATATGGGGAATTATTTAAAAATTTGAATGTAGGATAACGCATTTTCATCATTTTCAATCAACCTTACGTCAGGGTAGAAATAAAACGTCATTTAAATTATGTTTTTTCCCCCAAATCACGTGTTCGTCGCTTCAGGCGAAATATAGGTATTAATCAAGGTTTGTGGTGTGAGAACCTGGGTTTATAAATTAAGGTGAGCGTTTCTGTATTTAGAGTCCCATGAGCACCTTTTTTTCCGAAACTTATACCAAAAAGTGGAGTCTGAGTCTTACTTAGTCAGAAATTGTTGAACTTTTTGGGTTCTTGACCATCAGAAAGCAGGCAGACTTGACCCTGACTTCCCTTGACAGAAATGGGCTTTTTTCACACAAATATTATACAGTTTGTCTAAAGGTCACCAAAATGCACCCAAGTTTTGATGTCCGAAGTAGGAAAAGATTACATCCTATTCTCAAAAAACTTCTACGTGAAAAAATATCAACTGGCGGGTAATTTCTTTCTGCCCAACAATTCTGCCTGCCTAAAATAAAATTTGGATTTTTCTGTGCAAAGGCCTTATTATAGTTCTAAATTCTAAGCTTTTCTCATTCTTTCATGCAATTCATTTTTTTATCTTGATCAATCCAATTTTTTATTTTTACAAAGAATTTATTGTGGTCCATAGAATTATGTTGTAGAGAAAGTCTACCTGTATTATACAAATGTTTATATAAACAATAAATGTCTTTGCTGCAAATTTTTCATTATAACAAACTTTTTCTCAAGTCCAGACAGAAAGTGCTAAGAGTAGCTGGTTAAAACAATCCAGTTATAAGAAACTACCCGATTCCAGTATGACCAACTATTCTGAGGAATGTTCAAAAATTCTACATTGAGAAATTTCCCAACTATTTGGCAGGCACAGTCTGGAATTTTAAATCCCAAATGTGACTGACTGGTTCTTGTAGCATAGATGGAAGCTTTGAAAGAATACTATGCTTCCAAGCAAGTGGTTCCACACTTGGAACAACTTGGAAGAACAACCATTGGAAATTACTCAACATTCGATTTGAGTATTTCACGCTTTGATTTTTTCCACACAGCGTTTATGAATATCCGAAAGGAAATGCACATCTTCCACGAACTCCGCAAATTGAGCTAATGTATACTTCACAGAGAAATGGATTTGAATGGATTTAAAAGTTGAAGAAATGTTTTCATTCAATACTAACACCTAGAAACACAATTTGACACTTAGCAAATCACTCATTGTGAAGTTTTTCAATTACCGAGCTCGCAAAAATACAGTATATAGATCAGTTGGAAATAACGAGGACATATATATCTAAGTTATTATTGACGAAACAAATTAACTTTTGTGACCTTCAATCGAATGCAGAAGATGAGAATTGCATTTATAACTAGCAGTTCTGATTCAACCGAAGTTATTAGGCAAACATCGCTGTTCAATCAAGCGAAACAGAAAAAAAAGCATTCCAAAAAATTAAAGTAAAAATTAAGAACACTGCATAAAAAATGATCGCTCCAATTCTCTTAATATATTGCCCGTTTAGGAGAACATTTTTAAACGCTTGAGTATTATTAGTTTTGAGTATTATTAGTTTCCATGCGCCTCGGAAAAAAAATTACTATATATAAAAAGGCGAAAATTTTGCGCCGCTTTTCTCAAGTCTTTCGTATTTCCACTCGGCACAGGTTCTTCTTTTACACGACTTGAAAATATATGCACTGATTCCCGAAATATGTCTGATTGAACGAGCGACTGCATCAATCAGAAATCTGATGAATCACACGAAAAACTTGCGAATTATAAAAAAGATACCTTATTATTCTCACATTATGGGAGCATGGATTCTGAGGCTTCGAGAAAGTCAAAATACAGCAGTCCGAGGAAAAACTAAAAAAATGCGAAACTGAAATGTCAGAATCTTTAAACTTCATCACAGCATAAAATATACACATAGATATGCAACCACGGCATCAGCAGCAGTGACTTGCTCAGGATGTCAAATGCCTACAACTGAAACAACAGCAAAAAACAAGCATCAAGTATAAGAGTCTTTCGTAAACATGGTCTGGAACAAATATACACTGTGGACTGTGACTCCATTCCACTCAAGCGAGAAAACAAAAATCGGGTCTATTTTTCCATCACCAACAATAAGCGCCAACTTCTTCCAAGGCAAAAGACTTGCTCGAAAGTTTTCGAATGGAATTTCAGCAAAGGAAGATGAAAAAAAAAAACGAAAAACTTCAGTATTCTATTCATCAAAAATTCACAACATCCACTGCAATAAGATTCGATTTATTGCCATCCACCTTCGCAAGATTCCGTTGCTATGATCCATTGTTTAAATATTATATTTTCCCGAAACGTGCTGGTGGACTAAAGTGTTGGCCCAAGACTTGGCCAGTAAATATACTTGCAATTAATCCGCTTTACTCGGGATTTTTACTGAAACTATTTTTTTCCTTGGTCTTTCTTCTCGTATCTGCCTTTTGCTTTCAGTGGGAAAATTAGCTGAAGGTTTCTTTTATTGTATTTACCGGAAGTAATTAGGAGAACCACGCAATGGCTCTCTCTTCGAAATGGTGTGCGGACCGCGGGGACGCCAATAATAATGACCGTGAGGAAACTTGGAAATCAATTATTATTTTCTGCATGTATAAGTCAAGAACTCAAGACTAGGATCTTTCTTCGCAATTCTCATCTTTTATTCAAGAGATGAAAAATATGATAGAATAAAATGTAGCGAGGTTTTTTTTTTTCAGCCATGGAACTTTCGGCGTCGGTGGACGTGGATCAATTGGATAAGATGATCAGGCAGCTGATGAAACTAAAGGTTCCTCTTGCATAATATATTCGCATTTTAATTTTCGTTCGATTGAATAGTCGGGATGAAAATCATTTGATAATGTTTGTCTGGTGGTGATAGATGGAAGGAGAAGATCACCTGTGCAGCCTTGACAAGAAAATGTCCGTCATGGACAAGCAATATCGCCAGAGAGTGAGAATATGATATAGGAAAACATGTTTTTTCAAGCTAATAATTATTTTTCTTGATTTTTAGACCATGGAGCTGCAGAGACATGAGAAACGGCTGGACGAATACACACAGACAATGCATGGTTTGTTGAGTTTCCTTTTGAATCAGCGTAGAAGAAAAATGCGGTTTGAACGTAAAGTGCAGTGAAAGCTTCAACAATCAAAAATCCCATATGGGGAATGATTTAAAAATTCGACTATAGGATAACGCATTTTCATCATTTTCAATCAACCTTACGTCAGGGTAGAAATAAAACGTCATTTAAATTATGTTTTTTCCCCAAATCACGTGTTCGTCGCTTCAGGCGAAGTAGAGGTATTAATCCAGGTTTATTGTGTGAGAACCTGGGCTTATAAATTAAGGTGAGCGTTTCTGTATCCAGAGTCCCATGAGCACCTTTTTTTTCGAAATTCATACCAAAAAGTGGAGTCTGAGTCTTACTTAGTCAGAAATTGAGGAACTTTTTGGGTTCTTGACCATCAGAAAGCAGGCAGACTTGAACCTGACTTCCCTTGGCAGAAATGGGCTTTTTTCACACACATATTATACAGTTTGTCTAAAGGTCACCAAAATGCACCCAAGTTTTGATGTCCTAAGTAGGAAAAGATTACATCCTGTTCTCAAAAAACTTCTACGTGAAAAAATATCAACTGGCGGGTAATTTTTCTCAGCCCAACAATTCTGCTGGCTTGAAAATAAATTGGATTTTTCCGTCGAAAGGCCTTATTATTGTTCTAACTTCTAAGCTTTTCTCATTCTTTCATGCAATTCATTTTTTTTATCTTGATCAATCCAATTTTTTCTTTTTACAAGGAATTTTTTGTGGTCCATAGAATTATGTTGTAGAGAAAGTCTACCTGTATTATACAAATGTTCATATAAACAATAAATGTCTTTGCTGCAAATTTTTCATTATAACAATCTTTTTCTCAAGTCCAGACAGAAAGTGCTAAGAGTAGCTGGTTAAAACAATCCAGCTATAAGAAACTCCCCAATTCCAGTATAACATACTCTTCTGAAGAATATTCAAAAAATTCTACATTTAGAAATTTCCCAACTATTTGGCGGGCACAGTCTGGAATTTTAAATCCCAAATGTGACTGACTGGTTCTTGTAGCATAGATGGAAGCTTTGAAAGAATACTATGCTTCCAAGCAAGTGGTTCCACACTTGGAACAACTTGGAAGAACAACCTTGTTAGAACAAATTATATTTAGTGCAATAACACACTTTTCCCAAATTATTCAGTGCAGCAAGCTTTTCTCAATAAGTCTCCACAAGTTTGCTGTCAAGAGATTTTACTCTATATATAGATACGTATCCCTTTAAATTCGCATTAAAGGGGATGCATTTTTTAATAGTCATCGTTGCTTTGCCATTTTTTTCTGCTTGTATCAAAACACCCTGCTAGTTATTTTCCGTTAGTTGGGCATTGATGACTGATGCCGGCTGGGATGTGTCTTGATGCTCCTGCCACCATGTCTCATGATGAGTCATGACGCAGTGTCAATATTCGAGTGCTCGAAATGATGTCGACGTTGACACGCAAAGTTCTTCCATGTTCTTTTTTTCCCTTCTACTGCTCATGTTCTTCTCCCTGTTGGTATCTTCCTCTTATTTATTTCTTTTTTGTTGTTGTTTTTAGAAAGGGAGAAGGACGTGGAGCGGATGACGAGGCGACTGGAGCAGTTGGAGGAGAAGCTGAAGGAGGAGCGGGAACGCAGGGCCAAGTTGCTGGAGCACAGAGGCGCGTTGCAACGGGAAACCGAGAATGCGTTTGCAGTGTACAAAGCCCGCACTGAGCGCATCAAGTACCTCAGGTCCAGGGTCAGCAAAATCTCTGCTGAAGTGGAAAAGTTCCTTTGCCAAGGAAAGTCAGTATACAATATCTGTATATATTCTACTGTACCGTATATCTACATTCAAACCTCTCCAAGTCAAACTTCAAGGGACCAGCAAAAACAATTGACTTGCATACAAAAGCTCTTTTGTTCTTGGAAATAACATAAAGAAATTGCCAAAAATTGTAAATGGTGGAATTCTGAGGCTTAAATTGCTTCTTAACCCTTGGACAGTGAAGGGTACTTTCCCATTGCTGGCCGAAATCAGATTATTTTTGTATGCTGGGGCATTTTAAGTTTTCTGAAGGTCAGAAAAGACCTTCCAGGTGGGCTGAGGCAAAGTCGGGATTAATCCAAGAAAAGCCCTTTGCTTAGCACAACATTTTTTTTCATTTTCCCACGAAATTTTTCTGTGCAAAAAGAAAAAACATTGGATTTTTCCCCAACTTTGTCCTCAAATCCCTGTAGTCCTTTTTTTATTTTCTGCCCTGAGGTGCAACAAAATTTTGCAAAAATAGTCCAACTTTTCTGCCCAAGGGTTAAATAGATTGAAAGGATGTTGAACTTATTGCGGGCAAGGGTTCATTTTCCCAATTAAGTCCTTGATTTCCTTTTGTAATACAACAAATTATCTTTTCATTGTTTTTTTCTTTCTTGTGTAAAGATGCGGTGGCCAACAGGCCACAGAAAATTCTATTTGCAGAGGTTTGAGGGGAAAGCCTTTGACTTCAAGAGGTTTTTAATGCATTACAGCTAAGGGGATTCAGATGGGGATCTGAAAAAAAATTTGACTTGAGTGGGTGTTTAACTTGGGAAGGTTTGTTATTGAGGCTCATATGTACATTATATATATATATATATGTTTTGATTGCAGGTACAGGAGGGTTGTCCCGTTTGGTCAAGGGCTCTGATATTGCTGGATTATATGATTTTCTGATTTCAAAATAATATATCTTGGCATAGCCCTTGATGCTTTTAACATTCTGGCATTTTTTCATTTGGATTTAAAAGAAATTCAATGTACAGGTGTTACCTTGCAATTCAACCCAAATCTTTAGCAGAAGTTCTGTATGGTAAAAGTGTGATTTGGTCAATAAGCAAGACACTGCTAGACAGTGAAAAATGGAAAGAAGAAGTGGGCAAATCACGTCAATTTGCGGGGCAAGGGCTGAATTGCGAGTCAATGTCCCTGCAAATTTGATTGTCAAATTGCAGGATGGTTAAACTGTGGGAGGTCAAATTGCAAGGTACCGCCTGTACTCCATGATAATGTTTGCAGACTTTCCATTTACAGCCAGAGTTCTGCACTGGTGGAAGACTGATTTCTTCATAATTTTGTTTTGTTTTGTTGAAGGGATGAAATGGAGACTGTTCGTCGGGATTCTGGGCTCTACGAAAACAGCACCATGAACAAAACCATCAGCCCTGATTCTCCGTTTTGAATATCCTGCACCAATAGTTTACGAACGATTCGAGTAATTAATATTGGCGAAGCGTGTTTCCATTGTTCCAGCTGCTCTTTATTCGCGATTCCATCTTTCCAATCTAAACACGCAGAAGCGTCGGAAACATTCAAGATGATTTCATCATCATCGGTTTGCCGAGGAATTTCAGGAAACGAACACTTGACAATAAGGCTTTTTTTTTTATTCCTACGATCCCAATTCGTCCAATTTTACACTTGTAGTCCTTTGTTGTTTTCATTTGTTTACCTTCTTACGGAATTTCCGAGATTCTTTTTTCTCCGTTACCAAAGAATTTCAGAATAAAAATGCGATCAAAAGTTCGATTTCATTAATCGAGGATTAAATCGACTTTTGCTTTTGTTGCGTGGATTTGAACTTCATTCGAATTGATTCTCAGGATTTAGACTCATGATCATCATTCGATTTTTCATTGACCGTATTTTTTGCTTGACTGTGTCCGTATTTTTCATGTGAAAAGTTTCTTTTCTACGCTTCATTATTTTTTTTAATAATCAGTGCGGCATCCGGTACATGTCACATAATTTCGAATTATTCAGAGTTGAAATTTCGATTTCATGCTTATCTGCCGATTATTCGGATACGAACAGTAATCGGGGAAATGCGTTTCGGGAATCTGCTGATGCTTTCAGACAACCATCGAAATTTTCAATTCTGTAATTTAAAACATTTGAAAATTAGTTTTATTTTTCAGAAGATAAGTCGGAGCTTTTTTTTTTTTTAGCCAAAAGCACCATCTATTGCTTTTTTTTTTCAACGAAGACACGCATTTCAAGATAATTTCGGTCACCATGGATATTCTCCAATTTCTAACAACGCTCTTCGGAGTTATATAATTTCCGCAATGGCATAATCAGATTAGAAATTGAACCAGAAAACATTTGAGACATTTCTTTTCCTAAAACGAAGACACCGATACTCGGAACGGTTAAGAATCGATGATTCTTGTATAAACACCGGGGACGATTTGACGTGTCTTCTAAATCAAATCCTGACATCAGTGAACAAGGTTGTGAATAGTTTGGCGGCGGACTTGCTGAAAATTTGCTTTGCTCCTCGAATGGGTGTCATGATTCATTTCCGTCGTGAGAAAGCAGCCAACATGTCCATTGGCAACGGGAAAATGATTGTCGAATTTTTCTCCGCTGAAATCGAGTTGAGGGTCTGCGGAGAAACGAATGTGAAAACTTGCGGAATTTCTCAGTGTCGAAACGAAAATTTGATTCATGGCGCTAAAAAAAAAGTCATGCTTATGTGCAATTTCATCGACAAAATTCGCAGTCTCGAAACCGAAAACAATCCTGTATTTCGTTTCCAACGCAGATTCCACCGTTTGCTATACCATGATTATTACTTCTCTCAGCGGTTCTGCTCCGAACAACATTCTGTAGAAAAACGAAAGCAAAAAAGTTCCTTCGCCGAAAAAACATTCGCCCTATTTGGCACACCAAAACGCAAAACTAAAGCCCTTCATCAAAAAAAAAAAATCGAGGAACCACCATTCTGGAATACTTTTCAATGTGGCACATTGAGCATATCAGTTGAATTCTTCAGCGACAATAACTATTCTTCAGTTCAAGGTAAATTTAAAAAAAAAAGAGTGCTGATGTAAAATTGACATCTAATTTAAAAGGTCTTTTTCGAAAATCCTTTGCAATACCTATCGCGACATCCAACGCACTGGACATTGATTGTGAACACATACATTTTTTTAGAGTGCAAAAAGTGATCAAATTTACGTCGGGAAAAATCAATCGAGAATTTAAATTTCAAATCGGAAAGTGCAAGCTATATATAGACATCATTGAACAGTATATTGAAGGCCAGCTATAGGGTTCTAAACAATATAGCGAAAAAAATTTGCAGAATGAATTAAATCCAATTAAATCCACGGAAATGATTCACTATACTGTACTTGAAAGAAGGAAGCGACAGTTTCAAACTTCTGAAAGTATGAAAGAAATCAAGGGACATCTGATTTCTGGACGCAGTTTCAAATATTCCAACGATAGTTTTCAAAATGTTTTCGCTAAAAGTTGCGTCTATTTTTCAAAAACTTTCGTGGTAAATTTTTCGTGAATCGTTTGGAACTCAAATGGATTTTTTTTGGTAGATGAAGCTAATAATCGGTGATGCATCTGTGCCAAATTATTTTTAGTTTTATTTAATTCAGCAAAATTCTTACGTATGCGAAAATATTTATGATTTGAAAGACAGGAACTCATGCTAAAAATGTTTATCTGATGAGGACTTTCCCCCCTTAAACTGACTGAATTTCACATGAGCTATATCGTTGAAAAAATTGAAATTTTGGCTGCGTGCAAATTTCAGACGCCCTATTCGAACTAAAATTGTGCCCCATGAGTTCATAAAAAAACGCTGTTTCCTACAAGAAGAAAAAGACATTCACACACTGGGGGGAAAAGCACGATAAGTGAGGAAAAGAAAAAGCTCGACAAAGATGAAGACAAAGTTCAGTGCTTCTTGTCTCTGTTGACGAAGTACGATAGCAAGTCTATCGGCAACGGGAAGAGGATCGTGGAGTTTTTCTCCGCGCTGATGGACTGCAAAGACTGTGAACAAAATAAGCAAAAAAACAAATGGTGCAAAATTTACGCGACGTGATGACGTGAAACACGTATTATTGCGACTTACGGATAAAAGCTGGAGCACATTTTACGCGTCTGTTCAAAAAGTATAAAAACTTGGTACCGGAGAGGATATATAATGTCTGAGAGAAAATAAAACCTAAAATTAAATGGAACGAAATTTTGGTTAGAATATTTTTTCAGATCCATAGTTTTTCAGTCATTATAAAAGCTTCTGGCATTTTGTTTGGCAACCCTGTGTCCCATCAACAGTTATTGACAACATTTTTTTGGCGACAAAGAATTTATTTTTTGCCACAGCTTTCTGATATTCCGGTTGCTTTTTTTTTTTGAAAAACAGCGAATGCATCAGTAAAGATTCAGTTTTCAATTTTATTTGAATTTTCCAATGAAATGCAAAACAAATTGTCATTTGTGTTTCTCACTGATGTGTTTTTTTTAGCGAGTCCTTCACTGTTTCGGGTTTTCAGCATTTTTGAAAACAAGTGTTGAGTTGTTATCCCTTTATGATTTCAATTGTTCTTGAAAATATTTAGTGACCTAAAACCGCGACTCTCATTCATTCGAAGAACATTTTACAGTCTTGACAACATGAAATTATGCTTTATCGTGATTCAAGATGAACTAATGTGCGTGAAATTTACCAAAGTGCGTTTCCTCTTTCGAATTTTGCATTTGCGATGCAAAGTATTTGAAAACCAAATTCTAAAACGGATATCTGATAACACAGACATTCATTTTTCAGCTTTTAAATTCTAGCGAGCGGAAAATGTTTTCTCTGGTATTTATTCATTGATTTGTTGTTTTTATTTTATTCATTAATATTTATGTTTAATTTATTCCGTCACTTTATTCCCTTCTGAAATTAATTCGATATAAAGATCACCATACGCATTCACACCTTTCAAATATTTTTTAGAAAATTTTCTTTTACGAGATTATTCGGATGCAAAACTGCGCTACAAGTTCAAGAAATGTGTTTTTTTTTTCAACTTTGTGACCTGCTCTTCTTGAATATTGATGTAGATTTCAGGTCAATCGGGTTTATTGTCAGCAGTAAGTTACTATAATAGGTTATTAGATTAGCTGACGATTTGTGAATGGAGAGTTGGGTCCTCAGCACGAGAAAAATTCCAAAAAATGCTGAGGGGCAATAATTTGGGTTTTCACCAGATTCGTGTTTTTTTGTGTGGATCAATATGAATTATTGTATGCAGTTCACCAATTTTGGATGCCAATGATGAATGCACGCATCATTGAATACAAGAAGTGACATCTAGTCGATGGGAAAAAAGCAAAGAACAAGGTTAATTTACCTGCAGATAACGAAGCTGTAGAGCAGCAGGGGATTCCGCAATGACATCCGACGCTTCCTTCAGAGCCCTGGAGGCCTTTTGTTCTCCCTCGGCGGCGATGACCTTAGCCCTGGCCTCTCTGGCAGCCTCTGCTTCTGCTGCCATGGCCCTTTGCAACTGCACTGGCAACCTCACGTCCTTTCTGCAATTTTCAGCCAGTGTTGTATACAGCAGGGGAAGGACCAGAGGGGTTCATATACTCGTATACTGTATATATATATATATATATACTGTAGATACGCAGTGGGAAGCAGATTAAACTCTCGAGGATCTCTGGGATCAGATGTATACAGAAGCGAATTCCTGTGGTGGTTTTTCTTTTTTCTTTTTTTGTCGCTGAAATTACTGCTGGGTTTGTTTGAGATTTATCGGGATTTCGAGTTCTTGTGTTTCCAAGGATTTTCACTGACAATAGTCTGGTTAATAAATGTTGATGTCAGCATCGTCGTCGATCAGCGTTCGTGGTATTTAATCTTCAGACTGGATAAGAATATAAGTTCCTAGATTATAATTAATTATACGTGACCTGCTGAAATTTATAGCAAAGTAAGATTTTTCCTGCAGTTCACAGTTATACGTTGGATTCGCACCATCATTATTCCGAAAATTTCCACAACATTTTGACGAGCAAATGATGAAGAGAAAAAGAATAATTTCGCCCGAGGAAGAATCATCGCCTCATCGAAGTAAAGTATGGACCATGAAAGTGATGAGCTTTTCGCTGCTAGTCTCATTGATTGAAAAAAAATAGTAATATATCAGCAAACGTGAGAACATTTTCCTTTGTATATTTTAGGGATTGCTTGATGAAAGAAATATATGTTTTTTTTCTGCACCAAGAAAGCCGTTTTCACGAGAATGTCATTTTTTCCTTCGACATTCATTCGAAAAGTTGTGAAATTAAATCCAAAATTAATTATCACTTAGTAATAGATTCATGTAATTATTTAAACTTGGACTAAGTTTAGTTTTCAATTGCAAATATTTGTAAGCCACGTGTTTGTAACTAAAATTTCGTAACAACATTAAAAACTATAGGTGCAACATCATGTACTTCTTTTGAAAATTGACGTTTTATGCGCACAACCGTATTTTTAACAATAATTTAACAGTGTATATACTTTTATAGGCTTGAAGTTATTCGATACCTTTTGGATTGAATCATATAGACTCAAAAATACGTACAACATCAGAAAAAATACAGCATTTCGGCTTGAATAACATCTGCGGAAAATCTAGCAAAATTCATCAATCTCCATCCTTTCTTCTCTATATATTTCGATTGAAACATTTACTGAAAAAACCAGCAAAGGAGTTCTGCTATCTTCTTTCTTCTCTTATAAATCAGAACATACGACTTTGGAGAATACATCTTCTGATGAAGTTGGAATCAAGAGGATCACAAACTTGGTTCTGTTGAATTTTTATTCTGCCGTTAAGATTGACATCTTTTTTATCTAATCTTTTTACTCTCCGCTCTGCTGGTTAACAAACCTCGTTTATATGAACGAAGATCAGGGCACAGTTGAATTTAATTAGGTTCCTAATTGAATGTTGTGGGCGAGGAAGAGAAAAGCTTGGCACTCACATTTCAACTCGCTCCACCTTGATGCCCCAGCTGTCTGTTGCTTCATCCAGGGCACTCTGCAAAGTGGATCACGTTCATCTTTTAATCAATGCGTGAAAAAGACACTTTTTTTGCATGACCTGTAGTACTTCATTGGAATGGATTTTGGAGAAGCTCATGAGACTATTATACATCGCTGATATCCTACAAATAATTTTCACGAACAAGACAGAGATGCATCATAAAGATTATGTGAGCTTTTGGCTCTTTTTTTTATGCGACTCATGTCATTTTCATGCTACCTAATTTGTTCAACGCATTTGAAACCATGTGATTTTCTATAACAATGTTCTTTCGACTTCGGTTATAAAATGTGCATACTTTATACGAGAAACTCTCACTCAAAAAAATATTGACGATATTTTTCTGAATTTTGCCAAATAAAAAATAATGACAGGATTTGAGCGTTCTGCACAACTTTAACATTGTACTTTCAATCTCATAACCGGACAATGGGCTAATATGTATTTTGAAAGATTAACAATTATTATATCTTTCAATTCAATCTTGGTAAATATTTTTAGGACACATTTATTGGGATATGTGAGATCATTTTCAAAGACGGACCTACTGTTTTTTTCTGATGTGAAGGTGGGTCATGTTTATGTTACATCAGTAAAATCGCGTTAAAATGAAAAAAATGGATGTAAATACGGTAGTTTTTTCATCACAGCTCCCTGCGCAAAAATTACGATTTAATTGAAATCAGTTTTCATCCGGAATTACATTTTTAGCGAATGTTTTATCAATGGCTTTATTGTTGGAACGAGATTGTATTACTCTTTAACTTGCTGAAATAAAAAATGGCAGTACAGAATGTTGCGAATTTCCATGATCGGTGCTTTTGACTGAGATTTCGTTTTCAGTGAAATCATTTTGTATAAATTACTGAGTCCCGTAGAGGATTCATTCTTTAAGGTGCTTTTGCTGATCTTTGGTAAACGTGCTGCACGTTCCAAAAATTTGCAACCCACAAAAATTAGAACACGTCACCAGCAAAATATTATATAATTTTTAATTATTCGGGAAGATACAAGACGACAGTATATATCCCGTTTTGTTCATCTAAAAAAGCAAAAACAAAATCAGGTTTGTAGAACTGATGACCCTGTCCAGTTTATAGAAGTTCGGGGGGGGGGGGCAGGTTCTTCGTTTGGGTTCATATCATCAGTCTTATTTCGGGGACTGGTTCATTGTATGGATGATTCATTGTAAGATACACTATGGAAAAGTGTTCCCCAACCGGTGGTCCGCAGACCATCAGCACCGGTTCGCAGAAGTTTTTTGCCAGTCATACAGGAAATTTTCAGCATAATATAGTCAACGCATCAGAACAAATTATAACGAAGTCTGTTATTGTTATCCGACAGTTTGGAAAGACAGCAGTGGCAGTTCAAAAATATCTGATTCAAATAAAAGTTGGCTTTTCCTTTGACAACATTCAAGAATAATTTCCAACTGTTGAAATGAGTTATTTCCAGTTTTCCTTTTTGGAAACCATTTTTCAAGCCAAGCTTTCTCATTTTTTGAAGATATTGCACTGTAGCTACTTCATTGGTTCTCAAGTTAATTTTTGAAATAGAAGTTTTGTTCGTATACCCAGCAAAAATTTCAGATTGCCGCCTGAGATGGCTGCTATTTTTACGCGTATCCTGGCCGTTTCAGGTGGTGGCCAAACGGTTTTGGCCAAACAGTAGGGATCTGTTTTCCTGACGTGGTCAGGATGGCGTAAAAAACGTTTTTAGTTGACGCTTTTGAAAGCGTCAGAGTCTGACGCTTTTAAAAGCGTTTCTTACGCTGTTAAAAACATTTTTCCGTGACGCTTTTGAAAGCGTCAGAGGCTGAC